TCTCTGGATGTTGTAGGACTGTCTTGGCTGACACGTCTCTGCAACATCGCGTGGCGATCGGGGGCGGTGCCAATGGAGTGGCAGACCGGGGTGGTGGTCCCTCTCTACAAGAAGGGGGACCGGAGGGTGTGTTCCAATTATCGTGGGATCACACTCCTCAGCCTCCCTGGTAAGGTCTACTCCAAGGTACTGGAGAGGAGGCTACGGCCGATGGTCGAATCTCGGATTCAGGAGGAGCAGTGTGGTTTTCGTCCCGGTCGTGGAACACTGGACCAGCTCTATACTCTCCATCGGATACTCGAGGGTTCATGGGAGTTCGCCCAACCTGTCCACATGTGCTTTGTGGATTTGGGGAAGGCGTTCCACCGTGTTCCCCGGGGCGTCCTTTGGGGGGTTCTCCGGGAGTACGGGGTCCGGGGTCCTCTGCTGAGGGCTGTATGACCGGAGCCAGAGCTGTGTTTTGACTTACTGTTTTGACATATATACACACACACACACACACACACACCCACACACACACACATATATACACACAAACACACATATACACACACACACACACACATACACGTTTTTGTTACCTGGTGGGTCCCTTTGACAGGGCCGTTCAGAATGGGACCCATAGACATAATCTTTTTTTACCAAGACTTTAAGTAATACAAAACAGTCAATAGAAACCAAACAACTATTTTAAAGGAATTTTATTTTAGATTTTGTTTTCGAATTGCAGTGATTCTATTTTTGACATAGAATTTAATGCCACTCCATGTCCGATGTCTAAGGTCATCTGGTGAGGCATTAATGCAGGCCAGGCAGTGAGACTTCCCAGGGACCTTTCCAGTCTGTATGAAAGGTGTCATGGTCTTCTCCACAGCCTTCACCTCAGATGCAGACCATGGCTTTCTTACACGTTCTAGGGAGAGAAATAAAAAATATATTAGCAATATACACTCCCAGGGTGAGGACCAAGCAGCCTGGCTGTAATCCCCCACCTGGTACACTTACCAGAAGGGGCACTGCCACTACCATGGGGTGCATCTGGATGAATGGTTGAAGGTTCTCCGCTTGAAGTTTCTTTTAGCCCGTCCGTTTGTGAGAGGATCTCTACTGCTCTCCCTGTCGCACAGAAAATAAAAATACAAGTGGCCTTTAGGGGAAAAAAATCATACATATTTTAATAATATCAAGAATTACCTTCAGGCTCAATTTGTATCTGGTCGAGGCTCTTTCCTTCGAATTCCGTCACTCTTCCCTGCTCCATGGCCATCAACACTTTGCTGATTTTGGCCAGCTCCAGTGTCCCCTCTGGTAGTCTGTAATATTGCCTGTGGATGCGAATGTCATGGCCGAGGAAGTTGGCAAGTATGTCCATCTCATTCTCTTTCATATTGAGAACTGTAGACATAGTAGCTATGTGCTTTCTAAGTTTGGTTGAGGATAGCATCTCTGGATGCACCGCACCACATTCTTTGGCTACCTGGCGTAGGGAGTCTGATCCCCTGATGTGGGTGTCTGCGCCCGGGCGGGAAAAGAAGTATGGGTTATGGTCAGAGATGGAACAGGCCCTTCTGTTCTCCACCAGCACCTCCATCGAAGCAATCATTTCAGGAGTCAAAAGAACCGGCACTTTCCGACTTCTTTTCCCTTTAATTTCAATGCGTTGAAAATGCTGACACAGCTTTTTCTCAAGTTGGGACAGTCCCAGAGCAATGTCAGAATGGATCCCAGTCTTACTTCTTAAGGTAAAGGCTGTCAGTGGCATCTTTGAAACCTCACCTTCCCTTCTTCGATTGAAAATGATGACCTCACAAAGAGTCAAAACTGCCAGTTTAGACCAATGCTTAGACGTTGGCTCACTTATTAGGGTTTGCACATATTCAGGTCGACATACCTCAATATGTGCATGCATGGCTCTAACGTCCTCAGTCAGAGGGAGCAGGTCCGGAGTGTTCCACTTGGCTTGCCGGAGGGTCTGTAGGGCAGCAGAAGAAACACAGACGTCCCACCTCTTCTCAAAAAGCAGCCGGCTTCGTTGGAGGTTTTTAATAAATAGTTCATCAACACAATGCTCCATTTTTGAGTCACATTCAAGAATATCTGCTAGCTTTCTGAGGCTATGGCCGAGTTTGAGGGCCAAGGATGGAGTCTTGTATTGATTTGTTTCCTCATCATATCCAGCCACAGACCTGACTGCATCAATCACATGGTTAAAGTTGGAAGGAATAAAGAAATCCTTAATTGTTTTCAGTTTCCCTGCGGTTTTTGCTTCGTTAATTAACCTACCGACTTCTCTCATTTTCTGCCTAATGTAATCATGCTTTGTCTTATCATGCCCGTGTTTTAAGTACAGGTGCTCTCCGAGTCTCAGAATCCCCTTTTCTGCTTTGACAACACCCGTGACCTCATCCTGATGCATTGCCGAAATTAAAGACCACAGCTTTTTGCTGATGCCCTCCGGTACAGGCTGGGCTAGGGAGCAGAGGGACTGGACCCTACTTCTACCTGGTTTAGCCTGGGCATCTTTCTGTGAAAGCCGGCACCTGGCCACATGCCTCCACAGCGACTTTCGCTTAAGCAATGCCCCACAGTCTATACAGTGCAAAAACTCACTGGATTTAACTGGGGAATTTGGCTGTTTAGCTGGGACTAAAGTTCCAATGCCGGCCTTTAAAACCTCAAAATTGTGCTCACGGTTTCCACTATTCCTGATCAAATCAAACTGAAGTTTACGTGCTTTAGATTTCACAGGTAGAGCCAATGCTCTGGCTACGTCACTTTCATTTCCATGTTTTCTAGTCAAATGACGGGACATTTTGTGGCAGGACATTGAACAGTAGAGGCAGAAGTGTCTCTTGCTGTATACTCGCCCCCCATTTTTCTTCTTTTGCAGCTGCATGATAACAATCTTATTTGCCTTTGGTTCGTCACTTTCCGAGTCTTGAAGAAAAGTGTTTTTGATTTTTCTTTTTCCATACTTTTTTACAGGTTTCTTCTTGACAGTTAAATCGTCAGAATCTGAGTCGACTTCATCAATTAGGGACTCTTGACTAAGCTGCACAAACAACAAATAATTTGTAATCATTCTATATAACAATTTGAAGTCATGACTTGTAGTCAGCACTTACCAGTGGTTTGTAAGCGTGCGCTTCAGTGTGCTCCTCCATGATTTCTTGCAGCCTAATGAACCACACACTTGCACCTTTTTCTAGCCTGACACCTGATTTCCTCTGTTGTGCTGCTCCATGATTGGCTCCAGCCTGCTGGACTGAAATTGCCCCAGTGTGCCCCTCCTTGATATCCCGCAACCCACCACCAGGGTTCCGACACATAACACACTTTTTTCAGGAAAGTAAACCTCCAGGGGTCCTTTCCATATTTTTACAGAGACTGCATAAGGACCGTTAGAAAAGCATTACCCATTGATTATTAAGCTTGGACCAGTGGGGTCCGGTGTTCGGGCCCCACCACGTAAAACCAGTCCCCATGACGTGAGTGGAATCTCAGGTTATGGAACCCACCAGGAGTTGAAAACAAGTGCACACACACACACACACACACACACACACACACACACATATGTGATTGGCAGTTGGGAGGATCCACCCGGAAGTAGAATCTCCTCCTGTTTACCTTTAATATAATGTTCATTTTTAGCACATTTCTTTATTCTGAACTTTTCTCTTTGAGGTGGACACGACTCATGGACCAATGTCTCCGTGTTGGAACTGTGTGATTTTCTGATCTGCCGTTGGAGAATCAACAGTTTTGTGAAGTGTTGCTGTTGTGTTTCCGTCGCCATGGAGACGGGAGCAGCCTCTGGTTCAGGGCAGGACACACTCGGACCATGTGGACCACGGGCTGCAGGAATTTCACATCCTCAATTATGGAGCAGCAGGAGGCAGCGGAGAGAGAGAGAGACAGAGAGAGAGACAGAGGCAGAGAGAGAGACAGGCAGAGAGAGAGAGAGACAGAGAGAGAGACAGAGGCAGAGAGAGAGAGACAGAGAGAGAGAGAGACAGAGAGAGAGAGACAGAGAGAGAGAGACAGAGAGAGAGAGACAGAGAGAGAGAGACAGAGAGAGAGAGAGAGAGAGAGAGAGACAGAGGCAGAGAGAGAGAGAGAGAGACAGAGAGAGAGAGACAGAGAGAGAGAGACAGAGAGAGAGAGACAGAGGCAGAGAGAGAGAGAGAGAGACAGAGGCAGAGAGAGACAGAGAGAGAGAGACAGAGGCAGAGAGACAGAGAGAGAGAGACAGAGGCAGAGAGAGAGAGAGAGAGACAGAGGCAGAGAGAGACAGAGAGAGAGAGACAGAGGCAGAGAGACAGAGGCAGAGAGAGAGAGAGAGACAGAGAGAGAGAGACAGAGACAGAGACAGAGGCAGAGAGAGAGAGAGAGACAGAGACAGAGAGAGAGACAGAGAGAGACAGAGAGAGAGCGAGAGAGACAGAGACAGAGAGAGAGACAGAGAGAGACAGAGAGAGAGCGAGAGAGACAGAGACAGAGACAGAGACAGAGAGAGAGAGAGAGAGAGAGAGACAGAGAGAGACAGAGACAGAGAGAGAGAGACAGAGACAGAGAGAGAGAGACAGAGAGAGAGAGAGGGAGACAGGACCATCATAAACACGACTCATAAAAACCAGTCTTCTTCTGTTTACTTTATTTTAAAAGAAACAAACAGAGGTGAATAAAAACAACACAAGAAAATATTAAAAACAAGGCACAAGGAAATAAATGATTACAGTCTGTGTTAGAGACAGGATGTTACTGTGAACTGGGGCCACGGCAAAAAGTGATCAAATATGAGGAAATAAAGTCTAGTGTTTTTCTATTAATCTGACACTTTCTGACTTAACTTAACTCTTGTCAAAATATACATTAGAAGATACTTTTTTTGCCTTATATTTGATAATTCTTTGCGCTCAGTCAGAGCCAAACTCTCAGAATCTTTAAGGGATTTACTTGACATGATTAACAGTGGTATTTTCTGCAAATACAGGGAATTAAAGTGGCTCCAAACTCTGAGTAAGCTGCTCTGAGGGAGTCGCTCTGAGGGAGTCGCTCTGAGGGAGTCGCTCTGAGTAAGCTGCTCTGAGGGAGTCGCTCTGAGGGAGTCGCTCTGAGGGAGTCGCTCTGAGGGAGTCGATCTGAGGGAGTCGCTCTGAGGGAGTCGCTCTGAGGGAGTCGCTCTGAGGGAGTCGATCTGAGTAAGCTGCTCTGAGGGAGTCGCTCTGAGGGAGTCGCTCTGAGGGAGCTGCTTTGAGGGAGCTGCTCTGAGGGAGTCGCTCTGAGGGAGCTGCTCTGAGGGAGTCGCTCTGAGGGAGCTGATCTGAGTAAGCTGCTCTGAGGGAGTCGCTCTGAGGGAGCTGATCTGAGTAAGCTGCTCTGAGGGAGTCGCTCTGAGGGAGTCGCTCTGAGGGAGCTGATCTGAGTAAGCTGCTCTGAGGGAGTCGCTCTGAGGGAGTCGCTCTGAGGGAGTCGCTCTGAGGGAGTCGCTCTGAGTAAGCTGCTCTGAGGGAGCTGATCTGAGGGAGTCGCTCTGAGGGAGTCGCTCTGAGGGAGTCGCTCTGAGGGAGTCGCTCTGAGTAAGCTGCTCTGAGGGAGCTGATCTGAGGGAGTCGCTCTGAGTAAGCTGCTCTGAGGGAGTCGCTCAGAGCTCCACGTCCTTTTCTACACTGCAAAAAGTGATGAAAAATAAGTACAAAATTGGCTGAATGTTTTATTCTGAGCACATTCTGACCTTTAATTCTCCAACGGGACGAAGCTAAACGTCTCCTTTGGAATGAGGAAATCAGACTAAATGACTTTGTCCCATTGGAGAATATAGTTTAAAACAAAAGCGATATATAAAACTTATTATTATTATTATTAGAATGTGTCAGATTAAGACAAAAAACAATGGATTCAAACTTTTATTTCCTCATATTTTATCAGTTTTTTTCAGTGTAAAAAGTGCAGTTTATTTACTTCTGTGTAAAATTGGAACCAGTTTGATCTCCGAGTGTCCCCTCTCTCTGAAATCTGTGTGTGTGTATGCGTGCACGTGTATATGTGCGTGTATGCGTGCACGTGTATATGTGTGTGTGTGTATGCGTGCACGTGTGTATGCGTGCACGTGTATATGTGTGTGTGTATGCGTGCACGTGTATTGTGTGTGTGTATGCGTGCACGTGTATATGTGTGTGTATGCGTGCACGTGTATACGTGTATATATATGTGTGTGTGTGTGTGTGTATGCGTACACGTGTAGTGTGTGTGTATGCGTGCACGTCTATATATATATATGTGTGTGTGTGTATGCGTGCACGTGTATATGTGTGTGTATGCGTACACGTGTACATGTATATATATATATATATGTGTGTGTGTATGCGTGCACGTGTACATGTGTATATATATCTGTGTGTGTGTGTGTGTGCGTGCACGTGTATATGTGTGTGTATGCGTGCACGTGTACATGTGTATATATATCTGTGTGTGTGTGTGTGTATGCGTGCACGTGTATATGTGTGTGTATGCGTGCACGTGTACATGTGTATATATATCTGTGTGTGTGTGTGTGTATGCGTGCACGTGTATATGTGTGTGTATGCGTGCACGTGTACATGTGTATATATATCTGTGTGTGTGTATGTGTGTATGCGTGCACGTGTATATGTGTGTGTATGCGTGCACGTGTACATGTGTATATATATCTGTGTGTGTGTGTGTGTGTGTGTATGCGTGCACGTGTATATGTGTGTGTATGCGTGCACGTGTACATGTGTATATATATCTGTGTGTGTGTGTGTGTGTATGCGTGCACGTGTATATGTGTGTGTATGCGTGCACGTGTACATGTGTATATATATCTGTGTGTGTGTATGTGTGTATGCGTGCACGTGTATATGTGTGTGTATGCGTGCACGTGTACATGTGTATATATATCTGTGTGTGTGTGTGTGTGTGTGTGTATGCGTGCACGTGTATATGTGTGTGTATGCGTGCACGTGTACATGTGTATATATATCTGTGTGTGTGTGTGTGTGTGTGTATGCGTGCACGTGTATATGTGTGTGTATGCGTGCACGTGTACATGTGTATATATATCTGTGTGTGTGTGTGTGTGTGTGTGTGACAGTTTGGTGCTACTTTACTTCCAAAGTTCCACATTGGACTGTGTTTTAAAGAGATGTGGGTCAGAATGGTTCTAGTCAAAGTTAAGGCAGTAGTAAACATTAAAACACAGATGGAGGCGGTATATACACCTGGTTACACAAACAGACCCTGAAGGAAACTACAAACAGACAAAGTCCGCGTTTCCACGGAGCAGAGGACACAGTGTGACTTTAGATTGTTGTGAGATCATTATGCTGCAGTTTGTCTGTTTTGTGCCGATGTTTAAGACACAGTTTTAACAAAGGCCAGAAGACTCTCCCAAACTACAAGTACTGCTCCCTTTTCTCTGGTGGAGTAGTTTTTACATTTGTTCTGCAATTCAAAAGGAAAGAGACATGTTTCAGTCAAAGACGCTACAGCCAAACATTTACAGACACACAGGTGAACGAATCAGCACAACCACAGACACACGGGCGGGGTTAACTGTTTACACATGCGGAAGAACATGTGTAATTACATAGGTAATAACTATGTAATGACATGTGTAATTACATAGGTAATAACTATGTAATAACATGTGTAAATACATAGGTAATAACTATGTAATAACATGTGTAATTACATAGGTAATAACATGTGTAATTACATATGTAGTAACATGTGTAATAACATGTGTAATAACATAGGTAATAAAATAGGTAATAACATGTGTAATTACATATGTAGTAACATGTGTAACAACATGTGTAATAACATGTGTAATAACAGGTGTAATAACATGTGTAATAACAGGTGTAATAACATGTGTAATAACATATGTAATAACATATGTAATAACATGTGTAATAACAGGTGTAATAACATGTGTAATAACAGGTGTAATAACATGTGTAATAACATATGTAGTAACAGGTGTAATAACATGTGTAATAACATATGTAATAACATATGTAATAACATGTGTAATAACATGTGTAATAACATATGTAATAGCATGTGTAATAACAGGTGTAATAACAGGTGTAATAACAGGTGTAATAACATGTGTAATAACATGTGTAATAACAGGTGTAATAACATGTGTAATAACAGGTGTAATAAGGATGTATCTGTGTGAACTACAACAGGTCCAAATGTGGCTCTAAGAGAGCGAGGCTCTGGTGCGACAGTCCGGCTGATCATTCATGGAAACTAGACTCTTTCAACAACTCTGCCCTGAATTAGAAAAGAGAAGAAGAAGAAAAGAAGAGAAGAAGAAGAAGAAGAAGAAGAAGCCAGAGAGACAGCGTTAGGACTGAGGTCTGCATCGTTCTGTCATGAGACAAAGATGACGTTAGAGAAGGTTAAAGCTGGAGATGAAAGCACCAAAACTAATTATGTGGAAGTCCACACCCTCAGTCCTGGGTCTACAGCCTCAGTCCTGGGTCTACAGCCTCAGTCCTGGGTCTACAGCCTCAGTCCTGGGTCTACAGCCTCAGTCCTGGGTCTACAGCCTCAGTCCTGGGTCTACAGCCTCAGTCCCGGGTCTACAGCCTCAGTCCTGGGTCTACAGCCTCTGTCCTGGGTCTACAGCCTCAGTCCTGGGTCTACAGCCTCAGTCCTGGGTCTACAGCCTCAGTCCTGGGTCTACAGCCTCAGTCCTGGGTCTACAGCCTCAGTCCTGGGTCTACAGCCTCAGTCCTGGGTCTACAGCCTCAGTCCTGGGTCTACAGCCTCGGTCCTGGATCTACAGCCTCAGTCCTGGGTCTACAGCCTCAGTCCTGGGTCTACAGCCTCAGTCCTGAGTCTACAGCCTCAGTCCTGGGTCCACAGCCTCAGTCCTGGGTCTACAGCCTCAGTCCTGGGTCTACAGCCTCAGTCCTGGGTCCACAGCCTCAGTCCTGGGTCTACAGCCTCAGTCCTGGGTCCACAGCCTCAGTCCTGGGTCTACAGCCTCAGTCCTGGGTCTACAGCCTCAGTCCTGGGTCTACAGCCTCAGTCCTGGGTCCACAGCCTCAGTCCTGGGTCTACAGCCTCAGTCCTGGGTCTACAGCCTCAGTCCTGGGTCCACAGCCTCAGTCCTGGGTCTACAGCCTCAGTCCTGGGTCTACAGCCTCAGTCCTGGGTCTACAGCCTCAGTCCTGGGTCTACAGCCTCAGTCCTGGGTCCACAGCCTCAGTCCTGGGTCCACAGCCTCAGTCCTGGGTCCACAGCCTCAGTCCTGGGTCCACAGCCTCAGTCCTGGGTCTACAGCCTCAGTCCTGGGTCTACAGCCTCAGTCCTGGGTCCACAGCCTCAGTCCTGGGTCCACAGCCTCAGTCCTGGGTCTACAGCCTCAGTCCTGGGTCCACAGCCTCAGTCCTGGGTCTACAGCCTCAGTCCTGGGTCTACAGCCTCAGTCCTGGGTCTACAGCCTCAGTCCTGGGTCCACAGCCTCAGTCCTGGGTCTACAGCCTCAGTCCTGGGTCCACAGCCTCAGTCCTGGGTCTACAGCCTCAGTCCTGGGTCCACAGCCTCAGTCCTGGGTCCACAGCCTCAGTCCTGGGTCCACAGCCTCAGTCCTGGGTCTACAGCCTCAGTCCTGGGTCTACAGCCTCAGTCCTGGGTCCACAGCCTCAGTCCTGGGTCCACAGCCTCAGTCCTGGGTCCACAGCCTCAGTCCTGGGTCTACAGCCTCAGTCCTGGGTCCACAGCCTCAGTCCTGGGTCTACAGCCTCAGTCCTGGGTCCACAGCCTCAGTCCTGGGTCCACAGCCTCAGTCCTGGGTCCACAGCCTCAGTCCTGGGTCTACAGCCTCAGTCCTGGGTCTACAGCCTCAGTCCTGGGTCCACAGCCTCAGTCCTGGGTCTACAGCCTCAGTCCTGGGTCTACAGCCTCAGTCCTGGGTCTACAGCCTCAGTCCTGGGTCCACAGCCTCAGTCCTGGGTCTACAGCCTCAGTCCTGGGTCCACAGCCTCAGTCCTGGGTCCACAGCCTCAGTCCTGGGTCCACAGCCTCAGTCCTGGGTCTACAGCCTCAGTCCTGGGTCTACAGCCTCAGTCCTGGGTCCACAGCCTCAGTCCTGGGTCTACAGCCTCAGTCCTGGGTCTACAGCCTCAGTCCTGGGTCTACAGCCTCAGTCCTGGGTCCACAGCCTCAGTCCTGGGTCTACAGCCTCAGTCCTGGGTCCACAGCCTCAGTCCTGGGTCCACAGCCTCAGTCCTGGGTCCACAGCCTCAGTCCTGGGTCCACAGCCTCAGTCCTGGGTCCACAGCCTCAGTCCTGGGTCTACAGCCTCAGTCCTGGGTCTACAGCCTCAGTCCTGGGTCCACAGCCTCAGTCCTGGGTCCACAGCCTCAGTCCTGGGTCCACAGCCTCAGTCCTGGGTCTACAGCCTCAGTCCTGGGTCCACAGCCTCAGTCCTGGGTCTACAGCCTCAGTCCTGGGTCCACAGCCTCAGTCCTGGGTCCACAGCCTCAGTCCTGGGTCCACAGCCTCAGTCCTGGGTCTACAGCCTCAGTCCTGGGTCTACAGCCTCAGTCCTGGGTCCACAGCCTCAGTCCTGGGTCTACAGCCTCAGTCCTGGGTCTACAGCCTCAGTCCTGGGTCTACAGCCTCAGTCCTGGGTCCACAGCCTCAGTCCTGGGTCTACAGCCTCAGTCCTGGGTCCACAGCCTCAGTCCTGGGTCTACAGCCTCAGTCCTGGGTCCACAGCCTCAGTCCTGGGTCTACAGCCTCAGTCCTGGGTCTACAGCCTCAGTCCTGGGTCCACAGCCTCAGTCCTGGGTCTACAGCCTCAGTCCTGGGTCTACAGCCTCAGTCCTGGGTCCACAGCCTCAGTCCTGGGTCCACAGCCTCAGTCCTGGGTCTACAGCCTCAGTCCTGGGTCTACACAGCCTCAGTCCTGGGTCTCAGCCTCAGTCCTGGGTCTACAGCCTCAGTCCTGGGTCTACAGCCTCAGTCCTGGGTCTACAGCCTCAGTCCTGGGTCCACAGCCTCAGTCCTGGGTCCACAGCCTCAGTCCTGGGTCTACAGCCTCAGTCCTGGGTCTACAGCCTCAGTCCTGGGTCCACAGCCTCAGTCCTGGGTCCACAGCCTCAGTCCTGGGTCTACAGCCTCAGTCCTGGGTCTACAGCCTCAGTCCTGGGTCTACAGCCTCAGTCCCGGGTCTACAGCCTCAGTCCTGGGTCTACAGCCTCAGTCCTGGGTCTACAGCCTCAGTCCTGGGTCTACAGCCTCAGTCCTGGGTCCACAGCCTCAGTCCTGGGTCCACAGCCTCAGTCCTGGGTCTACAGCCTCAGTCCTGGGTCCACAGCCTCATGTCCTGGGTCTACAGCCTCAGTCCTGGGTCCACAGCCTCAGTCCTGGGTCCACAGCCTCAGTCCTGGGTCCACAGCCTCAGTCCTGGGTCACATACAAGGGGTCAGAGGTCACACATACGAGGTCCTGGGGTCTGAGGTCACACATACCAGGGGTCAGAGGTCACACATACGAGGAGTCTGAGGTCACACATACCAGGGGTCTGAGGTCACACATACCAGGGGTCAGAGGTCACACATACGAGGGGTCTGAGGTCACACATACGAGGGGTCAGAGGTCACACATACGAGGGGTCAGAGGTCACACATACCAGGGGCCTGAGGTCACACAAACGAGGGGTCAGAGGTCACACATACCAGGGGTCAGAGGTCACACATACCAGGAGTCTGAGGTCACACATACGAGGGGTCTGAGGTCACACATACCAGGGGTCAGAGGTCACACATACCAGGGGTCAGAGGTCACACATACAAGGGGTCAGAGGTCACACATACGAGGGGTCTGAGGTCACACATACGAGGGGTCAGAGGTCACACATACGAGGGGTCAGAGGTCACACATACGAGGGGTCGGAGGTCACACATACCAGGGGTCAGAGGTCACACATACGAGGAGTCTGAGGTCACACATACGAGGGGTCTGAGGTCACACATACCAGGGGTCAGAGGTCACACATACGAGGGGTCTGAGGTCACACATACGAGGGGTCTGAGGTCACACATACGAGGGGTCAGAGGTCACACATACGAGGGGTCTGAGGTCACACATACGAGGGGTCAGAAGTCACACATACCAGGGGTCAGGGGTCACACATACCAGGGGTCAGAGGTTACACATACCAGGGGTCAGAGGTCACACATACCAGGGGCCTGAGGTCACACATACCAAGGGTCTGAGGTCACACATACCAGGGGTCAGGGGTCACACATACCAGGGGTCTGAGGTCACACATACCAGGGGTCAGAGGTCACACATACCAGGGGTCTGAGGTCACACATACCAGGGGTCAGAGGTCACACATGCGAGGGGTCACAGAGCAGACACAGAGAGCCCTTGGGAACCACAACAGCAATGCAACAATCAAACCTCATAAGAAGCTCAGACAGATCTCGTTCACCCAAAAGAGAAAGTGCAATGTCATTTACGAAATACCATGTGGAACCTGCAACAAAACATACATCGGAGAAACAGGAAGAGCTCTCAGCACCAGAAGAAAATTAACATCAAAAGGAAACAGCAGCGCGACTAACAAGATCAACCAAGGACAAGGCAACACAGGAAAACCTCAAATCAGCAACATCAGAGCACTGCAAAAGAGAAAATCACATCATGGACCGGGACAAGGCAACAATAGCAGGAACAGAAGAACATAAATACAAACGAGGGAGACGAGGGCGACTGAGACCACAGCGCCCACTGTGGTCTCTGGAGACCACAGCGCCCCCTGTGGTCTCCAGAGACCACAGGGGGCGCTGTGGTCAGTCAGAGACACATCACTGCCTCTGATGTTATTGTCTGCACTTTTGATTCACCAGTCTTTACAACAGATTTACAAGATCCCACAAATCTCTCCTCAGACCTGATCAACTTCCACCTCCAGAGGGACTCGACCCCAGAGACAGAAGGAGCAGTTCTGGTGACATGTTCAGATGACACAGCCCTCCATCTCTGCTTTATGGTCACGGTGAGGCTCTGATTTTATTACACAGTGTGACAAACGTTTTCTGGACCTGAACGTGGCTAAAAATAAGGAGCTTGTGTTTGGTTTCAGAAGGATGTGAGATCCAGCCCCTTTAAGTGTTGTTCCTGATGTAGGGGCTGAGAGTTTACCGCAGATACCTTTCACTATTCTGGATGATCAATGGAACTCTGCTGCCGTCGTGAAGCCAGACTTTGCCTTCTGCATAAGTTCAACACCAGTGTTTTGTGTCAGTCTGTCATCGGCCTCAGACCTGAACACAACAGTAAAAGTAAACACAGAGAACAGATCCAGCGTTATAAAAAGATCCTGCAGAATGAACCGCAGGATGACAGTCATTTAGTGGCTCTGACCCGGAGTCTGGGGCCTGGGGGGGGGGGGGGGGGCAGAGGTGGGGGCGGGTCGTTACAGGTGTTAGCTCGATGCTAATTGGTGCTGTGTCGAGGTGAGCGGCTAAGGCAGCACTAATTGGTTGTTGGGGTGATTCAAGGACGGATCGGAGGCGGCAGCTGCTGCGGCGAAGGCTCCGGGACCAACACATCTGTGCTCCTCCTGCTCCTGCTGCTCCTCCTGCTCCTCCTGCTCCTGCTGCTCTACCTGCTCCTGCTGCTCCTCATGCTTCTCCTGCTCCTGATGCTCCTCCTGCTCCTCCTGCTCTACCTGCTGCTCCTCATGCTTCTCCTGCTCCTCCTGCGTCTCCTGCTTCTCCTGCTCCTCCTGCTCCTGCTGCTCTACCTGCTCCTGCTGCTCCTCATGCTTCTCCTGCTCCTCCTGCTCCTCTGCTCCTCCCGCTCCTCCTGCTCCTCCTGCTCCTCCTGCTCCTCCTGCTTCTCCTGCTCCTCCTGCTCCTGCTGCTCCTGCTTCTCCTGCTTCTCCTGCTTCTCCTGCTCCTCCTGCTTCTCCTGCTCCTCCTGCTTCTCCTGCTTCTCCTGCTCCTCCTACTCCTCCTACTCCTCCTGCTCCTCCTGCTCCTCCCGCTCCTCCTGCTCCTCCCGCTCCTCCTGCTCCTCCCGCTCCTCCCGCTCCTCCTGCTCCTCCCGCTCCTCCTGCTCCTCCCGCTCCTCCTGCTCCTCCTGCTCCTCCTGCTCCTCCTGCTCCTCCTGCCGGGATCACCGCGGGGCCTCTGCACTTGCTAATAAAGGCCCTGTTTATACAGAGACGCTGCGCAGACGTTTCCAGGCTATTAACAGAAACGACCAGGCTCCTAATGCAAATGTCTCAGCGTTCACATGAGGTTGAAAAACGATGTAGTTCTAGCGCCCGGCCAGTAGGGGGCAGAGAAACTTTACAACACTCACACGACCCCCCAGCCCCGTGCCCAGCCCCCCTCTCGGCAGTGTACTCACTTCCTGTGCCAGACCCTCAGAGAGTACCAACATCATTCTGCATTTTAACAGCAGCTGTGAAAATGGAAACTGAACCTAGAGCTTCGCGTGGTCTTGTTTGGACGAACGAAGGAGTAGAATTATCCTCTGTCCCGCGCTGGAAGCCCACGTAGCTAGTTAATGCGACCGCCGCCATTGTTGTTGATGTTTGTTCTCTGCTACTGCGCATGTCCAAATGTACGTGCGGGGAGCAGCGCGGAGGTGGGGGTCAGAGCAGAGGGGGATTTCACACCTTTTCCCTCTCGCGGGTGTGAAAGAGCCCCCGCTGTGCAGCGTTTCTGAGTTGTCCCACTCTGCAGGCTGGATCTGAACACTTACGTTTTCACCTGGAACACAGTCTCCGTATGAACGGTTGGTAGCAACCGACATCCAACTATACCGTTTTACTGCCACATTGTCTCCGTGTAAACTCAGCCAAAGTGTAGCTCTGTGTTAGCGACCGTCTGAAGCGATGGCCTTTGGATGTAATAACTGTGGGTTATTCATGCTATTTACTATGGATCATCTACAGTAAATAACATGAATAACCCATAGATAGTTTAATTTGGACATTTTTATGTGTCTGAGTCATTTCTGACTTTTCCCACCACTCGCACAGAGCGAGTGGTGGGAAAAGGTGTGGGGTCGGAGAGTGTGTGGGCCTGTGTGCTGTCAGAGTGTGTGTTTGTGTTGTCTGTCTTGGTGGTAGTGTTGTGTTACTGTGTGTAATGTGTGTGTTTGTGTTGTAATGTACTGTGTGTAATGTACCGCTGCACGTTTGAGAATTCTACTGCATGATTTTGTTAAAAGTGTGTGTGTGTGTGTGTGTGTGTGTGTGTGTGTGTGTGTGTGTGTGTGTATATGTGTGTGTGTGTGTGTGCGTGCGTGCGTGTGTGTAGGATGCTGATGCTGGTCATTGTGTTTGGGAACGATTAGTCTTCAGCGTTTGCATTTTGGGTTCTGCTCATTCATCCATAAACAACATCTGGAACTGAATCATTTCTCTCTCTGCAGCATAACAACAACAGAACATGGTTAATGATCCACACCTGGACCCAGGACTGAGGCTGTAGACCCAGGACTGAGGCTGTAGACCCAGGACTGAGGCTGTAGACCCAGGACTGAGGCTGTAGACCCAGGACTGAGGCTGTAGACCCAGGACTGAGGCTGTAGACCCAGGACTGAGGCTCTAGACCCAGGACTGAGGCTGTAGACCCAGGACTGAGACTGTAGACCCAGGACTGAGGCTTTAGACCCAGGACTGAGACTGTAGACCCAGGACTGAGGCTGTAGATCCAGGACTGAGGCTGTAGACTCAGATATACAGAAGCGAGGCAACCAGTCTGTGCCTCCAGACACAGCCCTCTCACTGTGGCCCCTGGTGAGGTCTCCCATCCCATCACTGACCCAACTCGAACCGTAGTAACTATCATCTGACGTGTAAGACTTTACTCTGGAATGTTTTCAAAAGTAACGACAGGATTTGACAAGAAAAATTTATAAAAAAGGTTCTTTCTAAGGTAAGTTACTGATGCACATGTACAGTGCCTTGCGAAAGTATTTGGCCCCCTTGAACCTTTCAACATTTTGCCACATTTCAGGCTTCAAACATAAAGATATAAAAATTTAATTTTTTGTCAAGAATCAACAACAAGTGGGACACAATCGTGAAGTGGAACAAAATTTATTGGATAATTTAAACTTATCTGCAGTTCATCCAGAGTGATCATGGGCCTCTTGGCTGCATCTCTGATCAGTCTTCTCCTTGTTTGAGATGAAAGTTTGGAGGGACGGCCGGGTCTTGGTAGATTTGCAGTGGTCTGATACTCCTTCCATTTCAATATAATTGCTTGCACAGTGCTTCTTGAGATGTTTAAAGCTTGGGAAATCTTTTTGTATCCAAATCCGGCTTTAAACTTCTCCACAACAGTATCTCGGACCTGCCTGGTGTGTTCCTTTGTCTTCATGGTTCTCTCTGCGCTTTAAACAGAACCCTGAGACTATCAAAGAGCAGGTGCATTTATACGGAGACTTGATTACACACAGGTACATTCTATTTATCATCATCAGTCATTTAGGACAACATTGGATCATTCAAAGATCCTCACTGAACTTCTGGAGTGAGTTTTCTGCACTGAAAGTAAAGGGGCCGAATAATATTGCACGCCCCACTTTTCAGTTTTTTATTTGTTAAAAAAGTTTAAATTATCCAATAAATTTTATTCCACTTCACGATTGTGTCCCACTTGTTGTTGATTCATGACAAAAAATTAAAATGTTATATCTGTATGTTTGAAGCCTGAAATGTGGCGAAATGTTGAAAGGTTCAAGGGGGCCGAATACTGTAACGTGTGAGTCACTGATGTAAGTTACTGATGTAAGTTACTGATGCAGACGGAGCAGAAACAAAACACATAAAACATTATTTGGTTTCTTTGGCTTCAGTTTTTAACAAGGACATTTCCCAGAGTTCATCAGTGAAGCAGCAGGAGCGCCCGGCCTGCTGCGAGAGCGGGTCTAACTGGGACAAATGGGAGCCGCACAACACACAGAGACACACACAGACACACACACAGGACACACACACATACACACACACAGACACACACACAGGACACACACAGGACACACACACAGACACACACACTAGACACACGCACAGGACACACACACAGACACACACACACACACAGGACACACACACAGACACACACAGGACACACACACACACACACACACACACACAGCTGCACATGCAACCTCTGCACATACACTGTAGAAAAGTGCTGAGGAAGGAAGAGCATAACAACTGTCTGTGTGTGTGTGTGTGTGTGTGTGTGTATCTCTTGGTCTCCTCCTGGTCTCCTCTTGGTCTCCTCCTGGTCTCCTCCTGGTCTCCTTCTGGTCTCCTTCTGGTCTCCTCCTAGTCTCCTTCTAGTCTCCTCCTGGTCTCCGCCTGGTCTCCTTCTGGTCTCCTTCTGGTCTCCTTCTGGTCTCCTCCTGGTCTCCTCTTGGTCTCCTCCTAGTCTCCTCCTAGTCTCCTCCTGGTCTCCACCTGGTCTCCTCCATGTCTCCTCCTGGTCTTCTCCTAGTCTCCTCCTAGTCTACTCCTAGTCTCCTCCTGGTCTCCGCCTGGTCTCGTTCTGGTCTCCTTCTGGTCTCCTCATGGTCTCCTCCTGGTCTCCTTCTGGTCTCCTCCTGGTCTCCTCCTAGTCTCCTCCTAGTCTCCCCCTAGTCCTCTCCTGGTCTCCTCCTGGTTTCCTCCTGGTCTCCTCCTGGTCTCCTTCTGGTCTCCTCCTGGTCTCCTTCTGGTCTCCTCCTGGTCTCCTCTGGTTTCCTCCTGGTCTCCTCCTGGTTTCCTTCTGGTCTCCTCAAGGTCTCCTTTCTGGTCTCCTTCTGGTCTCCTCCTGGTCTCCTCCTGGTCTCCTTCTGGTCTCCTCTAGTCTCCTCCTAGTCTCCCCCTAGTCCTCTCCTGGTCTCTCTCCTGGTTTCCTCCTGGTCTCCTCCTGGTCTCCTTCTGGTCTCCTCCTGGTCTCCTTCTGGTCTCCTCCTGGTCTCCTCTTGGTCTCCTCCCTGTCTCCTCCTGGTCTCCTCTTGGTCTCCCTCCTGGTCTCCTCCTGGTCTCCTCTGGTCTCCTCTTGGTCTCCTCCCTGTCTCCTCCTGGTCTCCTCCTGGTCTCCTTCAGGTCTTCTAGTCTCCTCCTAGTCTACTCCTAGTCTCCTCCTGGTCTCCTCATGGTCTCCTCCTGGTTTCCTTCTGGTCTCCTCATGGTCTCCTTCTGGTCTCCTCCTGGTCTCCTTCTGGTCTCCTCCTGGTCTCCTCTTGGTCTCCTCCCTGTCTCCTCCTGGTCTTCTCCTAGTCTCCTCCTAGTCTACTCCTAGTCTCCTCCTGGTCTCCTCCTGGTCTCCTTCTGGTCTCCTTCTGGCCTCCTCATGGTGTCCTCCTGGTCTCCTTCTGGTCTCTTTGGTCTCCTCCTGGTCTCCTCCTAGTCTCCTCCTAGTCTTCTCCTGGTCTCCTCCGTTTCCTTCTGGTCTCCTCAAGGTCTCTTCTGGTCTCCTCCTGGTCTCCTTCTGGTCTCCTCCTGGTCTCCTCTGGTCTCCTCTGGTCTCCTCTGATCTCCTCCTGGTCTCCTTCTGGTCTCCTCTGGTCTCCTCTGGTCTCCTCTGGTCTCCTCCTAGTCTCCTTCAGGTCTCCTCCTGGTCTCCTTCTGTCTCCTTCTGGTCTCCTCCTGGTCTCCTCTAGTCTCCTCTAGTCTCCTCCTAGTCTTCTCCTGGTCTCCTCCTGGTTTCCTTCTGGTCTCCTCATGGTCTCCTCTTGTCTCTCCTAGTCTCCTTCTGGTCTCCTCCTGGTCTCCCTCTGGTCTCCTCCTGGTCTCCTCCTGGTCTCCTCTTGGTCTCCTCTTGGTCTCCTCCTGGTCTCCTCCTGGTCTCCTTCCTGGTCTCCTCTTGGTCTCCTCCTGGTCTCCTCCTGGTCTCCTCCTGGTCTCCTCTTGGTCTCCTCTTGGTCTCCTCCTGGTCTCCTCCTGGTCTCCTCCTAGTCTCCTTCAGGTCTCCTCCTGGTCTCCTTCTGGTCTCCTTCTGGTCTCCTCCTGGTCTCCTCCTAGTCTCCTCCTAGTCTCCTCCTAGTCTTCTCCTGGTCTCCTCCTGGTTTCCTTCTGGTCTCCTCATGGTCTCCTTCTTGTCTCCTCCTAGTCTCCTTCTGGTCTCCCCCTGGTCTCCTCTTGGTCTCCTCCTGGTCTCCTCCTGGTCTCCTCCTGGTCTCCTCTTGGTCTCCTCTTGGTCT